AAGAAAAGAAATCTATGTAATCGCAGTGCCAAAATGTCAGAAGACTGAGATAGGCTGAAAAAAAGAAGAAAAGAAAACATACAAAAAAACCTTAAAGGCATCCATGCAGTCTTCAACCTAACAAATCCTTGGCTCACATAAAATACTTGTGACATGCTGTAATTAACTAGTTACTCCTCTCAGAATGAATAATAATGCAATTATTTGCCAAAGGCAGTGAAGAAGGAATAGTTTCTGTTTTAAAAATGTCTGCCTTTCATTTCTGTAGAAAGAAAAACCCCGGAAATTTACATAAGCTGCTAAAGTACAGAGTGACCTGCAATTTCACCATCGCACTATATAATAATTATGTTACCTTTTTATGAGAGCCTTATATTTTTCAGTTGTTTGAGTAGCAATAAACTAAGTCACTAACATGTTTAAATTATCTTGGTTCCCCAAAACTACACTCAGATACCACAAATGTAAGTAATAGCCTGGCTGGTGAAAACATCTCCTTTTCGCAATTAGATTTCTATGCCATTGAGTTGAGTAAGGGCTAGTGCTCTGTTTCCTTTGTGTAGACACAAATAAAAGGAAGAAGGTGAACCTCAGTTCTTCAAGGGCCTTCTCCTTCCTTAGAGATTCCATGTGCCAAGTAGCACAAAGTTAGGTGAGAGTTTATATGAACAAACGCACTGGTTCTCTCTCCTGTGTGTTAATGTCTACAACAATGATTGTTTTCTTTAACTCCTACAAACCCATCCTACCATTCTCTCACTAATTAATTCAATAAGTATTTATTGGAGATTTGCTATGATACACTGTACTAGATACCAGGAAATCAAAGGTGAAAAAGACAGCTTGCCCTTGAGAAGGTTGAAGAAAAGTAAGGATATAAACTAGTGAATAGACACATTAACAATGCAGTAAGTGCCACCATACAGCTCACTCTCCACACACATGTACGCAAATTCATTCATTCATATAAACACACAAAACCCCTCTGTCCCATGAATATCAACTTCCAAAAATTCCAGATACTTTAAAAGTTCTGAAGCAGAGACTTGGAAAGCTTTAGTGCTAAAACTTTCCAATTTTATAATATCAGTAGAGTTAATGGGGGTGTATGTTTTAGTGTACAAGTGTCTGTCTAAATGTGTATTTTTATGGGAAGCAAACTTTATATAATTTTATTAAGGATAATATATTCTGAATAATATATTCTTAAATTGTCAGACTAGTAACACATTCTAATACCAGGTATTAGTTCAGAATGTCTTTAAATGAATATTTGCTGATATATCGCTACAATATGAAAAAACCTGGATCATTTGTTTGGTAAAACAGAAACTAGAGTCAATGTGATTTAAGTTCATAAAATCATGATAAATATTCCAACAGTAGAAGTAGCCTTGTTTTTTTAATTCCCATTCATCCAGAGTATTCCTTTATTAGTTAATAGTAGGAATTTGAGTCTTTTTTTTTTTTCGTTGAACTGAACAGTATGTAGAATGATGCAGGCTCTGGAATCAGACTGCCTATGTTTGAAATAAGGTTCTTCCTGTACAATTTGTGTGACTTCTCCAAGCCTCAATTTTCTTATTCTGTAAGATAGAGATAGTAATAATAGCTACCTCGTAGACATAGAAGGATGAAAGGAGTAAGAACATAAAACATATAGCACTGGAACAGGCACTATCATTAAGTAAGCCAATATTATTCTTATCATTATCTTCAAATTCAGTTGAATGTTTATTTCATCTCAAGGAGGACACTTAATATTTGCCAAGAAAATTATTTAGCTACCTTCTATCTGTTTCTTATGGCAGTACAGTGATGATAATTTGTATTTATTGTATTCTTTAAGAATATAAAATTGTGTTACTGCATTCATTCATTTCATCTGTTCATTTATTGACCATGTAGTTATTGAAAGTTTAGTATATACTAGATATTAGTGCAGCAGGGAATACATACACACAAATAATTTAGATACTACCAAAAGAGGTCAAAATGAAGTTAGAGTTTCACAACATGGCTCTAGAATTCTGCATGATTTTCTAAATAATTAAGCTTAATAAACTTAGATCATATAATCAGAATTTATGAGTTTTACATAAACATAAGAATGGTAAGTCCTTGGTAAGCTAATCATAACATCTACCTTTCCCCAGGCTACATAGTTTTCAAATCATTCAGCAAATCGTAGAAGCTTCTTCCACCTACTCAAAGAAAGAAAAATATTCTCCATAGGCTTTCAGTTTCCAATGTTTGATTAAATTCATAATCAAAATTTTTTATTATACTTTTGCAGTTATTTAATATATATAAAGCCATAGAGGAGAGAGGAAAGACTGAGATATAATGACAGTATACAGCAGAGAAAAAGATAAATATAATCCAAGCTTCATGAAGCTTATGTCTCAGCAAAATAGTACCTTATTTTCACCTCAAGGAATCTAGGTTCTCCTTTCCTTTGAGGAAAAAAAAACAAAAAAAACAAATGTCTATACTTTTTCTTAGCCATTCCCTAAAGATTAACTTGAGGCAGGAATAGTCAGGGATTTCCAAAGGGGAAACAAACTTTGAAAGGAGGGCCTGAGTGAGCAATGCTAAGAAAGAAAAGGGAAAATGTCGGCAACAGAAAAATCTATGAAACTAAGATCAGATCAGTCAAATAGATAGAAAAAAAAAAATAGCTCACTGGAAAAGGAGGATCTTATAAAATATTCTGAACATTTGCTTACTTTAGCGTATGGCTTAAGTAAAAGATTTTTTTTACTGAAACATTGAATTGAGCCAATTTATTCGAACCAAAGTTTCTCTTTTCATCTCTATTTTATTTCACGATTTTGTTATGATATCAAATGGATTTCTGAACTGCCAGTCATTTTTTTTGTCAGGATGATGTATGGTATATATTTCTGAATTTCTTTGGACTAAATTTGAAGATACTTGCAAAGCCTTTGATATCTTAAATAATTTACTGATAGACAAGTTTAGAACAAATTTTCTCTCCATTCCTCTGCTGCTAACAGATAATTATTTTGGTGTCTTTCAAGAAGATAGTCCCTAGAGTTTAACACAACTACTATCAAAACCCTAAACTGGCTTGAAGGTAAATGGAACCACTTTTTAAAAAATACAAAATGTCAGTCCCCTCCCCTCTTTATTAACTACAAGAGGTTAAGGAGAACGAGCCTGATCTACAAAATCACTTCTCCAAATCCACTGCAAAAGGGACCAAACTCTCTTTAGACTGATCTCAGATTTTTCAGATGCCAAGAATTAGCTGAGGTAACAATGCCATGATCCTAGTAGCTGTCATCAGACAGCAACATCACAGCCAAAGTAGGAAAGCCACTCCTCAAGGACTTAAGTATCAAGAGACAGTTACCATCTGTCTGAGATATTTGTTCCTATTTAATAGGTGAAAGTAAAAATAACCAAGTACTCTTAAAGGAGTTCTCTTACAAAAAATAAAAATAAAAAAAGAAGTGCATTAGCACATTTTCTTCCAGCCTTTCTAACAGAGATCTAGCTAATTCTGATACAGATGGTCTAAAGACTACACTCTGAGAAGCACCGGTGTGTAGACAAACCTTCTCTCATTCAATCAACAAACCGATCAAGCGGTGATTCCCAGGAAGTGAAACTGGTGCCAGGCTGACTGCTTAAAAATACAGAATTCTAGGCTTCACCGTCAGATTTTCTGGGGCGCTGAAACCTGCTTATAAATCAGTATGTTTAAGTTTTCTGAAAAATTCTTATAAACATTCCGTGGCAAGAGAAAAGGATTGTATTTTATTTTCACACACCCATAGGGGGTCCTCGTCCCACAATTTGTTAGCTCTCTGACCTTATGTAATATCATTGGTCTATAAAATGGCTGTTGAGAAGATTAAATAAAGCTATGAATGTTAAGAACCCAGTATGTAGTAAGCCAAGTATTATTGTCATCATTATAGTATATGCCCAGCTCTAAGGAAAATATACAGAGGTAAATGTATGGTTCACCACTTCCATTTAGAAAAATAATATAACAATACAAATTTTAAATATATGTTTACATGCTAAGGCAATGCACACACACAAAAAAAACAATGCAATATTCAGAGTAATAAAGTAGATTGTAAAATACAGAGAATTAATAAGAACATAGAAAAAAATCATTAAAAGTTTGCTTTAAAATGTCTAATTCTTCTAATTCAGGTGACCTAATTCTTATTAATTCATCATATTTTTAGTTATATTAACAAACATTAAAATCATGAGTGATATCAACTTATTATTTAAAACTGAAAGAAGAAAAAGAGCAGATACCTGGGTAAGGGGCCATTGGATAGGCTGCCAGAGGCCAGGAAACCCCTGAAATGTTATGTTGAGTTGTTTATATAAGTATGGATATTTCCGAGGGGTGATCCACCCCTTTTATTTAATTCTCAAAGGGTTTGGTGGCCCCTCCAAAATGTAAAGGACCACTGAAGATTCCTGTTTAGCGCATTTCATGCATATCTTTATGTAGGCTGAAGAAATTTAACTTCTGATTACATTACAAATAATCTTCTTGTTTATTTTATGTTAAATATTCTCTAAATCATTTTCCTCAAGCTTTCACTAGTCAAATATCCTGAGAAAAGAACAAACACTAAGATTTCATTTAAAGAAATATTAAGATTTTCATGGCTACTTCAGCCTATTCAAATTCTGCAGGAATCAGCATGGAAGTTTATTGTATGTGTTTTAAAAGTTCCAGTGACACAGATTAACTGATGATTATTTTCTGAGTTTTTCCTTTTTATTTCTTATCCACTGCTCAGTCTTTTGAATTATTTTCGATTAGTTCTGTGTTTCTTTTAATCTCAAGTAGAAAAAGTGAAGGAACTTTCCTGGAAGGAAACAATTCACCTTTGCCAACTTGCATTTTGCCCACCTATCAATTCTTCCACTTTGTGTTTTATTTATAATGTGGTAACAACATTAGTGATGTGACATATTTTTATTTCTCTCTTCCTTAGGTGCGTGTGCAACATTGACTGTTCTCAAACCAACTTCAATCCCCTCTGTGCTTCTGATGGGAAATCTTATGATAATGCATGTCAAATCAAAGAAGCATCATGTCAGAAACAGGAGAAAATTGAAGTAATGTCATTGGGTCGATGTCAAGGTAATGTTCATACCAAAATTCATTTCAAAGAATGTTTTCAGTCTTTGTATAGAAGTGAAAAGTGAAGATAACTTCTTATTAGGTAGCTGTTTCATTTCTAAAGGGCAGTTCTGATTTATAAAGGATAGTAGAGTCTACTGTAGCATTTGTGTTGATTATAGGAGTTTGAGGGCCTTTTGGCAATAGTCCATATCTTTTTCCATATAATAGGACTGTATCCTCACAATGCCATAAACACAGCCGCCGCTATTTAGAAGATAGCAAACATTCTCCTTGCAGAGGAAAAAAAGAAAGTCAGTATCATTTTAGCAAAAAATCTAAGGATTTATTAGATAACCTTAAATCAAAAGTAAATCACACTATTTTTATGTATTGATTCAATAGAAATATTTCAAGTACATTTTTAAAAGCAGGATGTATGAGAATGTTCTGTTTTGTTTCTTGTTCAGAAACAAACATTTTCTTGGTTTTTGACTTATTTTTTACCCAATTTATCTAATTATAATTGTAAACCTTCTTATTGCCCTAAACTTTAGAAAACTGGTATCATTTTATTATTCACTCTCAAACCAAAATTGACATTGTAAATCTGTCTTTGTATAAAGATTGCTTAACACTGTAGTTGTAAAATTACTTTATTGCAATGAAGATACTGTTGGAGGAGTAATAAAAGTTTGACATTAGATATTAAGAAATAGTTGATCAATCTTTATTGTTAATTTTTTAACACAGATAACACAACTGCAACTACTAAATCTGAAGATGGGCATTACGCAAGAACGGATTATGCAGGTATATAATATTTTTCTACTACAAAATTTGAGCACTTCTATAAAATAGTCTTGAGTATTCATTTTTTACCGTTGATTTTAAGTTGAACCTTGCAAGACTTCTGATATGTGCTAGTCTTCTCTTGCTTAGTTCAGACTTCCAATAGGATGAATTTTTTGAAGCAAAAAAGACCTTTTTTTTTGCCGGAGTTAAAGCAATTGTCAAAAATGTCAGTAAGGTATAATTAACTTGTTTTGACAGTGCAAATGGTACAAATGACAAAACATTTATCAAATTAATGGGCATCAATGGAAATTAATGCAATTTTTGGCGGTATATTATAATAAATGCAAATGTTCTTGTTTGAATTTTCATAAAAGTCAACAATAAAAATGTTTGCTAGTCTCTAAAAAGGTTGGAAAGAAAGGACAGCTATAAATAGAAATACAGGCTGTCTCTATTTAGATGGAAAGTTAAGAAGAGATTTATAATTTTTTAATAATAAATTCCTTTATTTAGAAACTAAAATGTAGTTTCCAACACATGCAAAATTATAAAGTATTTTATGTAAAAATGTAAATCTATTTATCAATTATAGAATATTATTTTGAGGAATATTTTTATCTAATATAATTTTCCTAAGGTGTGAAATAACTTATGGGTGTACAAACGGAATTTTAACAGACTCTTACATTTTATACAAAATTTAGGATAAAAAGCATAAAAATAAAATTGTTGAAGGTGAAAATTATGTGTTTTTTTTAACAGAATCTTCCATTAAGCTACTTATCATTTGTTACTAGATTTATGGCTAATATTCAATCAAAAAAAATTTCTTCTTATCTTTCAAAATATGCACTAATATTCTTTCTTTTTGAAATTGCATTTCCTTTCACAGTATTTCTGATATTATATTTCTATTCAAAGTAAATCTTGATGAAATTGAAAAAAATTAGTCAAATGTTTTACTTATAGATACTACAGAAGTCTTAGAATTTGGAAATAATAAAAGGATTCTATTTTTTAACTTTCCATTTTTATCTTAATGTTTTTCAACATGTAAATAAAATTTTTCATGTGCTAGAAACCTGAAATTATCATAGATAATGATACATGGAAAAACATTAGTTCTACTATTGTATAGCTGTTCCCAAAGTGTCCTGAAGAGAGATATTAATAGGCCTTCCTTAAAAAGAATAATTCATGGTCAATATATTTGGGAAGAGCTCGTATAAATAAATGAATTTTTTACCCGGGACTTCTCACAGCTGTTATGTGCACTATAACATTTTTTGAGATATGCATCTTTCATTTATTGTTTTACTTTTTTGTTTTGAAGAATTTTTGTCTAGAACTAAGTTCCAATTTTTATTTTTTGTTTTTTTTATTTTTTAAATTTTCAATTATAGTTGACACATGATATTATATAGTTTCAGGTATACAACATAGTTATTTGACACATAACTTATGAAGTGATCACCCCAATAAATCTAGTACCAAAATAAACAAACGAACAAAATGGGAACAAACTCATAGATAGAGAGCATTTTGATGATTGCCAGATAGAATGGGGTTGGAATGAGTGAAAAGAAGAAGAGATTAAGATGTACAAATGCCAGTTATAAAAACAGTCAAGGGGTGTAAAGTACAACACAGGGAATATAGTCAATAATATTGTAATGATAATTTCTAACAAACACAAAATACACACAAATGTAGGCTGGTTAGTATAATGAACCCACATATACTCATCACTCAAATTCAGTAACATCAACCCATAACTAACTTAGCCTTATTCCCACCTTCATCTGCTTTTCCCATTTTCAAAATATGTGGAAATAAATGCCGGAAATTGCATCATTTCATTCACGAATACTTTAACTTGCATCTCTAAAAGATCAACCTTTTTAAAACAATATTACAGTAACATTATTACACCTAAAATAATATAAATACATACATAATACATAGCTTTTATCAAACTTATTTGAAGAACAACACATTTTTTTGCATCAAATTTTATAGTGCTAGTGTTCCCAAGAATGCACTTTAGAATATACTGAACCACAGGAAAATATTAAAAGTAATAAAAGATAATAATAGAAAATCGAGTTCCGAAGCTAATAATACATGCTTTATATTTTCAATAAAGTCAAATTTAAATTACATTTTTATTATAAACGATATCTATATCTTAACAGCATTATAAGCCACTGGCTGACATATTTAATTTTACTGTAATCTATAATATTTCTAGATTTTATAAGGATCTCATTTTCATTTAAAGAATAGCTTACATACTGTGCTTAAAAAATCTTTATACTTGCTTGGCAAACTAATTCATTTGGAAAAAATCTTCAAAAATTTAACATTCTATGAATATTTTCTCCATTGAACCATCCATCATTGAACTCATAAGGATTTTGTCCCTGAAACAAAGAACTCTTCAAGTTGATTAGTGTCAATATGTAAATATATGTGCATTATAAAATTGTACCAATAAATATCATAATGGAGTTTACCACTCTCTCAATGTTATCCGTATTACATATAACAATCTGTCCATTTTTAAAGAGTTTGGAGTAGTTAAATTTTTATTCCGAAAAAATTCACTTTTGAGTTTGGTTTTAAACATAATCTCTGATTTTCAGTGTCAGTGCTTTTAATTGATATTATTTTCTGTCACATCACTTTATTGAACATGAGAAGAAAAGAGTATTTGTTTTTAAATACATGCAAATGAATACTATTCAGATACTCAGTGTTGTTCAAGGTCTTCTAGTCTGACATCAAATTCATCTAGAAAAACTTTTAAGATGAAAGTATACTTTAAAAATATGTTTGTTGAAATCCAAATTTAAGACAGGAGGGAAGATGATGTCAATTCCTAATTAAATATTGATTCCATATTTTATGATGCCCCTTGAATTTAATTTAAGTATTTTATCTTCATCAATGATCTTATTAAAATACAATGTATACCCCTCTTTAGATTTGCATAATATGATTTAAATAATGGTCATATTCCTCAACATTTCCAAGCTTCCAGTAGCATTTACTGAATTTTGGAAAACAAAATTTGGAAAAAGTATGAGCGACCAACTGGAGACTCAGAATGTCACGTCCTCTTAACTTCCGTTTAACATGTTCAAAACTCCCCAAGGAGGGAAAATAAGAACGACGCGACTCACATCCCTAGAAGTTTGCTGTGCACTCACAGCTAATTTAATGTCACAGTCATTTCCCGTGTTAGACAAACATTCATGGACTCTCCCACCAAAGGGAAGTACTGATCTTAACTTGCATGTTTTCCTTATGTGTCATTAATACTAGAAGTTAAAACCCTTTAACAAACCTCACCTCCCCACACTTTCTTTTCCTTTGAGCCTACCTTAAAGCTATTCATTCAAGAACACATTTCTGCTTAAAAAAATTGAAATACACTTTAAAGAAAGCCTAAATCTTAAATATGCTCTCTTCTTTTTAATACAATTGAAAAGAAAGTGACTCCAGTAAGGACGACAGGGACTAATTTCCAAAATTAAATGCAAACAAAGAGAGCCATGCCTTCAGCAAGACTGCCTTGCTGTGGAGTAGAGTGTGACAGGAATTAAGCAGAGCTGTGGATTCCATGATCCTCACAGGCACACGACTGCAGTTGACACCAGGAAACAAAAGAGTTTGCCACATCATACCTGCCGTTACTTTCCGGTTGTATCTGACTTGGGTCTCTGTTCTGCCCTCTCTCCTTTAATGAGACCCAGAGCATTAGTCTGTCCTGAATTAAGAGCTTTGGATCTCTTTGTTACAAGGCAGAATGACAGGATCCCTGTCTGATAAACTGAAACAAGCTACTTAATGTTATTCTTCCTTCATCAGTCTAGGATTTACGCTTAGATTTAGATCTTTCTCTTCACTTGCAGAAAGGTTCAGAGAACACAGTTTAATAAACCACAAAGCTAGGGCTTTTAGGGATTTTCATTGTTAGTATTAAATTTTCCTTCTGGAAGTTTTAAAATAGCAAATGTTTTACATCTTTTAAACTTTGCAACATTTTCTTTATGTATATATATACACACACACCCCTCCTTCATGCCTTGTCATGAAAAAAAGTAAAGTTCAACTATTATATTTTTCTTCATCTGCTATATGTTTTTTCCCTATGAGGGTGTTTTCCTAAGTCTGGGCATGCTTCAGAAAAATGGCTACATATTTTTTCAATGCAAATGTACTTCATTTTATAAGTTGTTAGATGAAAAATAACCCATTAAGTTATTTTATCTTTTATCGTCTAGGAAATAAAATGTATTTTCTTTTATGATGCTCTGTACCAATTTCCAAAATAATTTTCAGTAGCTTATAATTAAAATATTCAATAAAACTGTTTAAAGAGAAACTGAAAACATAAAAACAGAACTGCTGAGGAAAATAAATATATTAATGACATAGAATATTATAGTTACTGCATTTATTCCTCAGCTTCCTTGCAACCAGTGTAAAATAAGAAATTATAGTTGAATCAATTCATTCAGAAAATTTTTATAGAGTCCCTGCTAAATGCATTCCACTGTCCTCGGCTTTACAAAGAACACATCATCCTAGGTCTATACTAAAATAGAATTTAGGTTTCATTGTCTGATAAAAATAAATAATCAGTTCAAAGGCCAATGACAAAGTTTCTCTAGTGCCAAATTCTAAAAGAATAATTTAGCATAGATCTTTTTATGAGGCGTCACCGAAAAACATAGAATAGGTAATATCTTCAACGATTTTTATAAAATATGCCAAGAACCTATTCATATGACTGGGGATTTTTTAAATCAATTTTTGATAACATTTTAGAGCATAGTATTAAAATATGTATAACTCAACAATAGTGTTTCTATGGTAAACTAAAGTAATGAGTTACATTTATATATATTTCCAAACTGGAAAAAAATAAATAACACAGAATACTGAGGGAAATGACTGTGAGGAAGAGCTTATCTTCTTCATGGATCTACAGGTTCAACAGGAATGGA